CTTATTTCCCTGCAGGGGTGGGAGGGAGAGGGAATGCCACCCCCAAAGCCAGCAGGCTCCAGCCAGCACCCACAGACCTTTCCTCCAGCAGCCCAGGCACCATCTCCTACCAGCAGCAGCGGAAAGGAGGGGATGTCTTGGCCCTGGGCAGGGCGAGGGGTGGCGTTATCTGGGAAGCCCAGGCACGGGCAGCGATCGATTCAAGTGCTGGCACACAGACATTCCCACTCTGGCATTGGTGTGGGGCCTGGAAGACCTTATTTTCCTTGGAATGATGTCTGCCCCCCGCAGAAGCTCAAGCACCTCTGCTGTCTGCCACCTGCTGAGCTTCCACCCGGAGCTAGACACTTTCAGCGAGCATTTCCATCTCTTACCTTTATATTATCTTTCCTCGTGCACTCGTTTAGGTCCTTGGCTCCGTAGCCATTTCCTCACACCCTGATGAAGGCTTTTACGGTGGCAATTGCTTCCAGCAGTAGATTTGGAGATCGATGTAGATGCCCTACTCCAGCTTATGCCTCCTCCCTCCCCCCTCCTGTCCTGAGGTGCTTCCTGAATTCTACTTGGAACAAAAGATCCACTATTTATTTTTCTTCCTAAGCCACGTCCATGGGGGATGAGCAGTCCCATGTTCTAGCTGCCACACATACTGTCTCTTCTTGGTTCTTTCTCTGCCCACTTTAAAAATGAGAGGGTGAAGAGTATTCTGCTCTGGCAGGGGCGTTGGACTAGATGATCTTTCGAGGTCCCTCCCAACCCTCACATTCTGTAATTCTGTGATTCTTACGACAAGTGTGTCCTTTGGTTGAAGTATCCTGCCCTTGAGACGTTTCCAGCTCTATCAAGACTTGCAATGAAAGTACCTGTGAGCCAACTCAACTCTCAACGACGTTTCTGAGGAAAGCTTCCGACGCGGCCGTCCCCAAGACCTGCAGGGCTGCCTCAGAGAGGTCTGAGGGCTACGCCACGGAGGAAGCTCCTCAAATGAGAAGTCAAACGGCAGGTCAGTCCACAACCCAAATTGCTTTCATAGCAAATCACCCCAGGCTGATGCAGAGATTCACCCACAGTGGGAACAATCTTCTGCAGAGGAGGAATATTTACCTGTATTTATTTATTTACCAGAAGTGGGGGTTCTTTGTGTTGTCCAAAGGCACATCCACAAACCTGTTCTCTCGTACCTCAGCACATCCCTGGACCTCTGGGCTACAGGTAGACCGAGGGTTGAACCACTTGCAGAACGCAGGTGGCCAACGTGCGAGGGCGAGGCTGGTATAAACTGCTCTAGATCCTGCTGAGACTCAGCTGCGTCCAGGGTGGAGCGTCAAATGCTCTTGTTCACGTTTTCTTATTCTAACCCTCCCCTAGAGCCCACCAGCCACCCTCCCACCTGCCCGATGAACTGGGTGCCAGACACCCTCTAGTTTTCAAGCCAGACACCTCACGAGTGGTTCCGTGGTGACTCCAGGCGACTGGCAGCAGGGCTGTGCTGGAGCAGAGTGCTGGGTAGCACGGAGCTGCAAAGAGTTTGCCACTGCTATTCCGGTATCTCCTTTCCACGCTGTCCCCAGCCCTCCCTTTCCTCCAGCCCATCTGCTGTACGTGGGAGACGTCGTGTGGCCTCCAGGCAGCCTGTAGGGTTGAGAAGAGCCGCCAGCCCTGGGTCAGGCCCTTCCCCCTGACTGCCCTAAAACCTGGAGACCAGCTTACTTCCTTCGAGCTCTGTCCGACACGGTATTGTTCCCAGCAGGGCTACCACACCACACGCAGGTATCAAATAAAGCATGGTTTATTTGGCGTAGACTGAAATGAACTGCAACAGAATTTTAGGCAGAACGAAGCCTAGTTACACAAACCCGAACGAGTGCAGTTAGAGTCTCAGTTACAATCTAACGACTAAACAAGGTAACAAGTACATTTCAGAGAGTCTCCCAGCCTTGTCCTTTTCATTCAGAGACACGTGGCTCACTGATGCGTTGTACCTTTCACCTTCTGAAGGGACGTCATCGCAATTACAGCCGCATTTTTCAGTTTTGTCGTGGATTTGGTTTGGAAATCGAAAGGGACAGATCTACAGGCTGCTCTTCAAACGCTGTTTGTACTTCAAAGAGCACCGGGAGCCCGTTTTAAGGCTTTCAGGTCGAATACATGAACCTTGTGCATCAAAGAACTTACACTTTGATCGATGTCAAAAGAGTAATGAGGGGGTGAGCAAGCTTTTTCCTTTACCAACTCCAAACCCACACACTAGGCTTTCTCAACCCTGGCTGAAATGTCACAAAGCCGTACAAAGATGCAGACAACACCAGCCCAGCTGAAGCAGCCTAACAAACACAAACTACACTAGTCAGAGTCACCCAGGCTGGCCGGCTCAGCTACGAAACATGCAAACCCGTTGTGCTGTACTCCGCTAAGAGCAAGGAGCGAGGTTTTACACTAGGGAACAGTATCTCACAGATCATGCCAAAAACGCCACTGTCTATAAAACCAGACCAGACGAAGCATTTCAGAATGTGACATCGGAAACGCTTTAACAGCTAAAAAAAGGTTTGATTAAATGAGGACTTTCCTAGATTCGTTTTTTATGACTCAGCAAACCACCAGTCATTCATGTCACTCAAAGAAAAATACTTTCAGTTCATTACTTTTGCATGACAGTGTCATGACCGAATAGTTATTTACTCCAGTTACTCCCAATAAATATTCATCTTTTATTTACAGATTTCTCTAGTCTTTTAGAGGTCTTCTTTAAGTGTTTCCAGCCAAGATTACGTTTGCAGTGAATGAGGCAAGTTAAGTGAAAGCGTTTGCTCTGTAACATCTACACCTGGTGCTTCACTTTGTCTTCATTTCTGTTTCAAAGTCTTTGTAGACCAGAAGTTACACCATTTGAGGGTTAATCACCCATCGCTGTTACCCACGGAGAAGTAATTTCAGTACTAGAGAACTCCATTTCTTTAAAACACAAAAGTTACACGTCCCGCTTTTAGTACCGCTGACCCAACTGCAGCTGACCCCTGAAAACCTTTCCAACGCATTGCTTGTGGATTGATTTTTAAGTTTTATCTGTACGCTTCCTATTTATTAAACTCTGACACCGTTTCAGAACTGAAAAGCTTGGCTTGGCTGAAATACCAAGTCAGTAACAAGAATTAGCCCTGAATGACAACGCTAAGCGGATCAAATGCTAAATTCCGGGCAGGTCTGGTTTTCCTCCCAGACCTTCGGAACGACACAAGCCTCCAGCTGTACCCAGTGACGGAGAGATGTTACCGAGTCGCCGTGCGTGCCGAGTCGAGCCCGCCGATGTCAAATTACGAATCGCGCCGCCCGATGCCGCCGCAGCCAACCCCGCGCCCCGCTCCTCAGGGTGGCAGTTCA